ATAAGGGCTGGTCGTCCACCTTTGGAGTAGATGCGTCAAAGGTAATCCATCCCGCATCTATTAAATCTTGGACCTTATGCTTTAAAGCCATGCAATTATCTACAGAATGTCCTGGAGCGTTCGAATGATAATTGCATTTTTCATTTGGCTTATACCATTCTGGATAGGGTGGCTCCATCTTCTTGGGAGGGACGCGTACGAGGAGTTTAGCATCTAGTAATTTTAACAGCAGGCTTGCATAGGAAGTGGGTATTGGGGTGAACTTCCTTTCTGACCTACGCGACTTGGTTTGCTGAGAGGAAGAAGAAGGAGTGGCCAAGTTGATTGCATTTATGGTTCCCTCCTTCTTTTTTCCGAAGCTCTTTTTAACGAATTGAGTAGAAGAGTTGGAGGAGTTCTGTTGTGCAATTCTTCCGCTCTTCAAGCCTTGTTCTACTCTTTCTCCTATAATGACTACATCCGCGAAGAGTGTTGATGTGTTCCCTATCATTTTGTCATAATAGGGACCCATCAGAGAATTGATGAACATGGATGTAGTCTCTTTGTCAGATAGAGGAGGTTCCACTTGTGCTGCCAATTCCCTCCATCTTTGGGCATATGCTTTGAAGGATTCATCGTCTTTTTTGCTTAATAGTTGTAGATCTGCTCTTTCAGGGGTCAGATCAATATTGTATTTGTAGCGACGAAGGAAAGCATCTGCCAGATGTCTCCAGGTTTGGATTTGGTCCCCTTCTAGCTGCATATACCAATTTAGAGCTGATTCAGCCAGGCTCTCCTGAAAGCAGTGGATCAAGAGTTTTTCATTATCAGCATATGCAGCCATCTTACGGCAGTACATTGTAATATGGCTTCTTGGGCAGGTCATTCCCATGTATTTTGGGAAGTCTGGAGTTTTGAACTTATTAGGGAATTGGATATCTTTGACGAGGCACATATCAACTGCCTCCATGGCTCTCAATCGCTCTTCAAGGGCAGTCAGCTGTTGTTTTGATACTTCTGGTGCATGAATATGCACTGCCCTTGTATCAGATTGGGCTTGTTCATCATTGGGTCCCTCCTCTTCTTCTTGGTGGGAGGCTTGTCCACTTTGAGGACCCTCTTTATGAAGATTTTGTTGGCGCATCATTTCTAACATCTGTGCCATTTGCTCTTTCAGCGTGTTAAGCTCAGTAGTAAGCTTTCTATTTTGTTCTTCCAGATGTTCCATCTTCTTGGCTTTCTGAGCACGAGTGAGGACGGGCGGAAGACCAGCCACTTTCTAAATGATTTTAACAATTTTATTATAGTTTTTAAAATGATTGGTGTATCCTAGAATGAATGTGTTTATGTATGAGAGATTTTATTATGATGATGTTTATGCATACCTTTCTTAGTGTATTTATTTTCTCTCTTGGTTTTACCACTTATTGGATGATGTGGTATGAATGATACGACTTTGCCAAGAATTTTGTAAAAAGGTATTTTTATGGCTTTAAATTGTTTTTATGTTTTTTATGACCCTTTATCTCTTCTGTCGGTCAACGTGGCTACTTAGCTTACAAAGAACCTGAAACCAGGCTAGCTTAACTGAAGACTGTTCGAGATAAAAGTCTTTTATCTTTTCACTTTTTATGATTTTTAGGGTTTTTTCATTTTTTGTCTGTTGTATGATTACCCTATGCTAATGCATCAATACAAATGCAGCAAACAAATGCACACACAATTCATACATCCACGAGCAGAGCCACGCTTATTTAATCACGAGGTAGGGTTTTCCTGTAGAAACGTGCTTGGTTTAGGTGGTTCTAACTGTTCTCACCAGGCCAAAGGTCCCCAAGGTGCCCCCATTATAGGGACCTCTCAATCTCTCAATCCTCGGGTCATGCACGGAACTCTGTGTCGACACCCTTAGACCAAAAGAAGAGAGTTATCACCTTGAGTTGGTGGTTTTCCGACAACGGTAGTAGCCCCATGTGCCAACTAACCGATCGTATCTGCCACCCACTCCCTATAGGTATTCACTCTTGCCCCCGGGTATAGAGGGACTGTTGTGTGCAAGGGTTTTTGTGTGCAATTTATATTTCAAACAATTTGCAAAAATAATCATACAGCAGTTATTTAAAGCCATACAATAAAAACATACAGAAGGGTAAAGGCGTAATTTCAAATCTTTGCTTAGTTTGAATTTATCCGTCACTAAATGGGATCAACTCTCGGACTTCCCCAGTGGAGTCGCCATCTGTCGCCGCCGTCCGTTCCGACGTCCTGAGGACGTCTTGAACGTTTATGCGAGCGGTCGCGAAAAGATGGTTGAGACTCGCGTTTTTTGTTTAAAACATGTTCATTGCTTCTGAGGTGCTCAACACTGAACTATCCTCTAAAAGAAGCAAGGTTTTCGAAAAGGGTTCTTTTTGGAGTCGCCACCAATGTTTTGACCATAAACATTGGAAAAGGAGAAAAAGGCATTGATTTTAATAAAAACCAACTTGGCCATTATAACCAGAGTCGGGTAAGGGAGTTAGTTACGTGTGGGGAAGGTATTAGCACCCCACAACGCCCCTTTCGGGTTCCCTATGACGGATTAATTCATTTAAGTTAAGATTACAAGAAATTACGCGATTACCATTATTTTATTCGTACAATAAATATGGCTATCTACATGATTTTATTTACATTTTATGAAGCAATAAATAAAGCAGTAAAGGAGAAGAGATTTGAGAAGAACCTCCGTAGCAAGCTTTATATATCAACTCTGTTACAATAAGGACGCTTTTCGGCAGTCCCTCGCTCTACAGCAACTCTCCTCTCAAATACAGACTCGACTCGACTAAGATTTCTAGAAGAATCGAATGCCGGAATACAAATTCCTTAACTGATTGTTACCTATTAAAGGCAATTAGAAATATCATTCGAGAGAGGGAGAGAAGTAGACAAGTCTTATGAGTTGTCTGGTGTGAGGAATGAGACAAATGAGGCTCCTATTTATAGCCATTTTTCGCCTGGACATCTGGGACGGCCGTCTGGGTTGGGACGGTCGTCCCAACTGCACTTTTTACACTGGGACAATTTGGGACGGCCTGGTGCATTTGGGACGGCCGTCCCATTTGAATTTAGGGACTTGGGACGTGCATCCCAAAGGTGAGACGTACGTCTCACATGCATTTTTTGTGTTTGGGACGGCCAGGTGTGTTTGGGACGGCTGTCCCAAACTGCTTTGGCCTGTCTTCGCGTTCCGGGACCCCCGAGAAGCTTTCCTTTCCTTTTTTCGGACGTCGTTTGATGCCGATGTGTGTCCGTTGAAGCTTTATCTTCGTGTAAGAAGTATTCTTGGCCTTCATTTGAGATGTCAGGCGAGCTTTATCTCTGTATAGGAAGTCTCCTTTGTCTTTTATCGTGCAGACAAGCGATCTCTGTGTTTGTTGCGGGAGGTTTCCTCGGTTTTGGGAAGCTGGATGAACTCCATCTTCGGGAGAAGTTCCTCTAGCTTTTTATTTTGAGAGGCCGGGCAAAATTAGGGGTCTACACCAGACAACCTGGAAATGACATTGATGTTTTTTTAAGCCCATTGGTTGAAGAGTTGAAGATGTTGTGGGAGGAAGGTGTTGATGTGTTTGATGGGTACACAGGTGACTTATTCAAGTTGCGTGCAATGTTATTTTGTACAATTAATGACTTTCCAGCATATGGTAATTTGAGTGGCTATAGCATAAAGGGACATAAAGCTTGCCCGATATGTGAAGAAGACACATGTCACTATCAACTACAACATGGAAGGCAAACAGTGTACCTTGGACACCGAAGATTTCTTCCTTCAAACCATTCATATCGTAAATTAAAAAAATCATTTAACGGGTGTCAAGAAAATGATGCAGCCCCAACACCTTTAAGTGGGGAAGAAGTATATGAATGAGTAAGTGCGATTTCGTGTGAGTTTGGAAAGACGCAAAAGAAAGCCACAGGTATATGGAAGAAAATGTCAATCCTTTTTGTTCTTCCATATTGGAGGGTTCTTGATGTGAGGCATTGTATAGATGTCATGCATGTAGAGAAAAATGTGTGTGACAGTATCATCGGAACGCTCCTTAACATTCAAAGAAAAACAAAAGATGGTGTCAATGCTCGTTTGGACATGGTTGAAATGGGTATAAGAGAACAATTAGCTCCTCAACCTCATGGTAACCGAACATACTTGCCTCCAGCATGTCACACACTGTCTAAAAAAGAGAAAAGAAGTTTTTGTGAGTTTTCACGAGGTGTGAAGGTTCCATTTGGTTACTCTTCCAATGTGAAGAGACTTGTATCTATGAAAGATCTAAAATTGCTTGGGTTAAAATCTCATGATTGTCATGTATTGATGCAACAACTTCTACCTGTGGCTATTCGAGGTATCTTACCAGAGAATGTTAGATATTCCTTAACTCGATTATGCTTTTTTTTAATGCCATATGTAGTAAAGTTATGGACCCGGATGTTTTGGATCAGTTAGAGAATGACGCTGCAGTAATATTGTGTCAATTTGAGATGAACTAGTTCTTTGTTCTTGAATCATCATCAAAATCAACAAGTTTCATGTCCATGTAAGTTCAACATCAACTCCTTGTATGTTTCAACACTTTTCAGTATAACTTTTTGTTGTGTTTTGATTTATTCACTATCCGTACAAAGAACGTGTGGGGGTGCTAATTGCTTCAGTCTTCAACAATGCGTTACTAAATAACTAAACATTTATAATTATCTAAAAAGTAAATATTTTAATCATATTATGTTTTTAATATGATAAATATCTTCTCTCCCAAAAGCAACGTTTATTTGTAGCAGATAATAATGGAAGCAATTAATGTGTGTATAATCCAACGTGTAAAATAACAGAACTTGGGTTTCTTCAACTCTTCGGGAACCACCTTATTTAGAAGAACGTTGGTCCAAGATTTTTAGACCGTTGCGAACTCAAATATTTTAATAAAAAAAAACTAAAAAGTTTCGATAAGAACAACAAAAAGTTGATGACCCTCTCAACGAAGGAACATCACAACATGGCAACAACAGAGCATTCCAACGTCTCTCTGCAACAACACACAAGCCCCACAGTGGACACCATCTCTCTCATCAGTCTCACCTCGGTGCAAATGTATAACTTATTTTTATGATCGAATATTTTTTTTTCTAATAAAGAGTAACTCCAATCTTCATTTAAGTCAATTAAATTTTAAAATCCAACAAGTACAAAATATTCTGCATCACATTTGCTATAATAAAACAGTAGTTGGCAGCTCAAAACCGATTAAAAAGACATAAGCATATTTCCAAATTCCCCAAATGAAAAATAAAAAATAAAAATCCTAAAACATTTCTACCCATTTCAGTAATTGAACTAAAAATGCCTCAAACACTCCCAAAAGTCAGTAAATAAAACTTTATATAAAAAAACCAAGCAAGAAAACAAAAATCAAATACCTTTGACCTTTAAGCCCAAGTGAACCAACCCAACTGCAGAAACAGCTGGATGCAAAACAATAAATGGAAACAAAAGAATGGCTAGGAGTTCGGAATGGAGATTTACGAGTAGAGAAGTAAGCAACAAAGATATTGAATAACACCAACAACAAAGTTTATCAACAATAAAGAAAAAAGGGCATGCAAAAACTCTATTGCTAATTGAAGTTTAAGCTTTTTTTGTTTCACACATTGAATATGTTAATCTAAAGAAAATGGTATTATTAATCTAAAGAAAATAAAGTTATGTTGACCTTTTTTAGGAGAAATTAATGGACGTGGGAAGACAATTACATTCTTTTTCAATGGATTTGAAGCAATATCATGTACAAAACTTTCAAAAATCTGCAGGCTTGCAAAAACACACTATTAATATCTCATCAATTACATTTTGTACTTCTAAAATTAGTACCTATAACAATCATGAATTTGTAAATTATATGTAATTTGCAAACATTCGATAAAATTAACATTTATCATGCTCTTATTCTATTATATTCTTGTCATGTTTTTATATCCTATCATAGCTTGATCACTAAAAATAGACTTTAAAGAAGATATTATAAACCTAACATTCTTGATTCTAGAACAGTTCCAATTTGTTAATGAATGTAAAAGGACAATATTTAAACTGTTTAAATGGTTTTATGGTTACATTTTTATATATTATTGTTGCCCTTCCCTCTTTTGAATATGATATTCATTATTACACTAATATAAGTTTGACTCTACCTAAAAGCTAGGTGCTTTTTAACTGCATGCATGTAAACAATTTGCTTTCGGTAGTGATAAACTAATGGTAACCATTTACACTAAATATTGATACTTGAAAGCTATAATTTAGTAAAAAAAATGACCATTTTAAACTATGAAATGTGTGCTATGATTTGTAGTAGATGGTGAAGAACAGAGAAACATAAGAGTTGAGATGAAAAAAGATTTTGAATGTTATGAGGTATAATGATGGGGTGCATGTGAGAGCTCATCAGAAGAGAGACCTTCCTTGTCTCCATGGGAGCAATGCAATGAAATGAAATCAAACTTATTTGCCATACCCAACTAACTTTCTCTTCCTCCTAATTTGACCCTCTCTATTCTGCTACCACATTTCCTGTTCCACCATTTGTTTAAGAATAATACTATTTCCAAACCACTTTTCTCACCCCCACTTTTCTACAACTTCATTTTTTTCTCTCCATCATATTACTCCCTTATTTCATACTTTTCTCTTCTCTTTCTCTCTCCATCTCTTGTCTTACTTAAAAGGTTTTGCAAGATAATTACGTGGAAATAGTGTAACATTGTTGTTAATCATCTAATACATAGTCCTATTAAAACATATTGTTAAGCCCATTCATGTATAGAAAAAGTCTCGTTCAGAGCATGGATACAAAGAATTTTTATGTATAATATTAATATACAAGTAAATTCATTAATTTGATTAATAAAGTTCACTAAATTTTCAAAAGTTCAAAAAATTGATTACATACAGAACTTCTAATTTTTTTTTCCTTCTCATTTTTGAAATGTTTCTTATCTTATTCATGCAGTAATGATTCAGTCATTTAGGTATTGTTTTAGGAATTTGTTTGATTTAAACAATATGACTCTTGCTCATCATTTTGTTGGCTTCAAGCATCTAACATGTTCTAAATTTAGACGAAGAAAAAAATCATTATACTATATTCATTCTCTTCTAATATAGAGTAAATCACATTAAAAATTTGTCATATAGTGAAATAAAAGCTAACTTGCCTCAACAACCAGATCGCAAAAATTATCTTTCTAACAATAAAGAGGATTGTTATGTTTCAGCTTTAGCCTACACGAATAGCAAGGATGGGTATAGAAGAGAAATCTAATTTTTCATCCACAAAGAGCTTATAGGCAAGCCAATGCATATAACTATCCTTTATGAATCAAGAAAATTTGAGATTTACTAACAGGATACGCTTCTATTACTTAAAGATTTTGGCTAAGCCTATGCAATAACTGTACGACTGTGGGAAAGGGGACACTGTAAGTGATTGGAGCCAAGAGTGTTACCTGCTATTGTTAACTCATGAACAACATTTCCAAACAATGGTGGAAGGCTTCTGAACCCCGTCAGTAACACCTGCAAGGAACCACGTCGTTATTATTAAATAAATAAAAACAGTTGCAATAATGTACCCAAAAAGAAGGAAGCTAAGACCTTTCTAACCTCCATCTTATATAAACTACAAATAAATTGAAGTTATGAATTTAAGTTGTTAGTAGCAGTAATCATACAAGTCCTTGCGTTATAAATGTTGTTAGTAGCAGTAATCATCATATTATCCAAGCATAAATATTCAATCATTCAAGTAGAAAAATCAAATTACAAGTTCAGAGCATGTATAATAAAGAATACAAAAAGATAATAAAATATTCAATCAGCTGAGATTCAAAATTTTTATGCTCCCCGTCTGCAAAAATATAGTCTTACACACCCATTAGCCTTATCTTTTCCAAAAACCATTGTACTGCTCAAAAAACTGTTAAAGCATATATTATATATCCTCTCTTTTTTCTAATAATACATGATAAATGCCTATTTATTCCTCACATAATTGTTCAAGTTCCAATATCTTTTTCTATTCTAAAAGCTTATACCTTTGGTTATTCCAATCTATATAAGCTTCCATTCAGCAAACACTCTGCATCATATAAGTTCAATTTGTACCAACACGAGATTGATCTCCCTTTTTAACTCTATCATACCACAGAACCAAATTAGAAGTAAACAGACACAATTGACAGTCATATCATAGATAAATGTTAATGCCAACAGGTTAATGAATAACTTTTATAGTACTAAATAAACCAAAAAAAAAGTCTATTGTTACCCTGCCCTCCTTCTTAAATAGATAAGAGTCTGTACCACTTGCAGCACATGTTTTCAATTTACCAACATTAAAGAAGTTTGATTGCTCCAATGAAACTGTTAAGCTTTTGTCCAAGATTATCAGTTTGAAAATTGAAAATCCTATGTCGTCATAACTAGATAATTCGACTATTAAAGTGAAACAACTTAAAAATCATGCTTCAGTAGGACAATTGACAGACACATAGTAATTTTGGAATCAGTATCTACACAAAACTAGAATAGAGTAAGGGTTTGCAAATGAATGGATGAGTAAGAAGTCAATGAATGTTTTGTTATAATCTGAATAAACTCGTCAACAGAAAACTACAAACAAAAGCATCCAGTAGTAGTAGTTAGTCCTATTCTTGTCTTATGTATGAAAAAAACTTCATTCATTTCTGTTGTGATTTTTTTTTTTAAAATACAAACAACAAAAACAAAGCCTTACCTTATTTAGCCCAATAAAGACCAAAGTTTCATAAATTTAAAAATCAACTTGATTAATTCATTTGAAACAAACTTGATTAATGCTGTAGAACAAAGACCAGTCATACAATGAGTCAATCCAAACACACTGATATAAATTTAAACAAAGATCCTGTAAAAGTCTAACCATTTCCAGCACAAGGAGAGAGAGTCGATAAGACACAAATGCAAGCTATATGGTCAGATGTCCTCTGTTCAGATTACAGGTTGTGAAGTTTTGAGATGGGATATGAGGTCATTGGGTTAGGATTCAGGTTTGTCAGGGTTAGGATTTGAGCTCACCAAGGCTTAGGCTAGGGTTTGATGTCGCCACAGTTTTAGGCCACTTGGATTCAAGGTCATTGAGGTTTGGGTTAGGATTGGGGTTAGGTTGAGGTTAGGGTTTGAGGTTGTCAGAAATCCAAGAGTTACTAGGATAAATCGATTATCATGAGTGATAATTGATTATTCCAAAGTCATTTTCACAAATCAGATTTTTAATTGGATAATCGATTATCCTTAGTGATAATCGATTATCACATTGTAGTTTTGATAAAAATGAAACTTTTGTGGACAAACTAAGTGTTGACTATTTTAAACTCTATTTTTACAGACTCAAAATGACTAAACAGAGTTATTACAAACTATTACAAATGTGTATGAGTCTTCTAATCTTGAAGTCCTTTGTTCTTGTATCATCATCAAAATCATTAGACATCATATCCTTGCTAATCTCACTACATGAAGATGCCAATGATTGGTTGTCCTACTTGCCACTAGGATCTACTACCACTTAGGATAACTTGAAGAGATTGTTCTTGGTAGTTCCTTCGAGTATTTAAAGCTACTTATATAAGATTTTTTTTTTTGCATTAGGAAACTTGATAAAGAGAGTTTGTTTGAATATTGGGAGAGATTTAAAAGATTATATGCAAGTTGTCCTTACCACCAAATTAGTGACCAACTCTTTATCTAATACTTTTATGAAGGATTAATATTATAAATAAGAGTATGATTGATGCAGCAAGTGGTGAAGCTCTTATAAATAAAACTCCTACAATGACAAAATAATTGATAAAAACCATGACCACTAATTCACAACAATTTTCTATTAGATGCAACACAAATGTTGAGAGCATTTTTGCGGTTCAAACTAGATATTTCATGCACCATTGATAGCTATTAAACAAAATTGATAATCTAGTAAGTATGGTCTTCAATTGGCATAAGCACAAACACACTTTCCACCACAAAACTTGCCACAAGATAGTTTTTCTTTGATTAGAGTTGCGAGTGAAATGTGACTTCATCTTCACATACTACACGTAAATGCTTAACTTTTTAAAGCATGACCAATAAATAAGATTCCCATATTTTTGTTGTTGCACAATACAATAAATTTCCTCCACAACAACATATCAAACACATTGATTTATCCTCCAACATATACAATCCAAATTTGGAGAACCACCCAAACTTGATGTGGGGAGACAAAGCTAATACTTGGTAACAACCAAATTATTATCTCACACAACCTAATTATTCATTACAACAACCATTTTATCCACACCAAAACATAACCCACAATTTCCACAATCTCATCCACCATATAAAAGCCAAAAGAAAAAACAACACCAACAGTTTGGGTGATATTCTCATAGTACCTCCTTTGCTCTAAAAATCAATCATCCTTGGAGCTTATGATGCTAATGACCATGAACAGATCTCAATCCTAAGAAATGACTACGACTAGAATTCAATATTTAGAAACTCAAGTTGGACAACTAGCTAGCACCATTGTAGACCCCTAATTTTGCCCGACCTCTCAATAAAGGCCAAGAAGACTTCCTATTTGAAGATAAAGCTTCGATGGACGTCTATCAGCATCAATCGACTTCCGAATAAAGAAAGGAAAGCTTCCCGGGGGTCCCAGAACACAAAATCTGGCCAGAACAGTCAAGATGGCCGTCCCAGAAGTCGGGATGGCCGTCCCAGCAAGCCCAGACGATCGTCCCACATGCCAGACGGCCGTCTCAGCCAATTTTGGTGCTTGGGACGGCTGTCCCGGCCTCCCCAGACGCTCATCCCTGTTTTCCAAGCCCTAGACGGTCGTCCCGAGCTGCCAGGCTACGAAAACTATAAATAGGAGGCTCATTTGCCACTTTTTCACACTCCAGACACTTGTCTTCTCTCCCTACTTCAAATGAACTCTCCGATTGCCTAAAAAGATAACAATCGGTTAAGGAATTGTATTCCAGCATTCGATTCTTCTTTAAAATTTAGTAGAGTCGATCTTGTATTCGGGGAGGAGAGTCTTTGTAGAGTGGGGGATTGCCAAAACGCATCCTCACAGTTAAAAGATTTGCAATACAAAGCTTGCTACGAAGGTTCTTTTCACTTCTCTTCTCCTTTATTGCTTTATTTATTGCTTTATGTATGCAATAGAAAATAAGATCATGTAGATAGCCATTTTTAAATATTGTATAAATAAAATAGGGTAATAGCGTAATTTCTCGTAATCTTTGCTTAATGAATTAATCCGTCATAGGGAACCCGAAAGGGGTGTTGTGGGGTGCTAACACCTTCCCCACACGTAACTAACTCCCTTACCCAACTCTGGTTATAATGGCCAAGTTTGGTTTTTATTAAAATCAACGCCTTTTTATCCTTTTCCAATGTTTATGGTCAAAACATTGGTGGCGACTCCATAAGAACCCCTTTTCGAAAACCTTGCTTTTATTAGAGGATAGTTCAGTTGTTGAGCACCTCGGAAGCAATGAACACATTTAAAAATAAAACGCGAGTCTAAACCATCTTTTCGCGACTGCTCGCATAAACGTTCGAGATGTCCCTAGACGTCGGAACGGACGGCGACGACAGATGGCGACTCCACTGGGGAAGCTAGAGAGTTGATCCCATTTAGTGACGGATAAATTCAAACTAAGTAAAGATTTGAAATTACACCTTTACCCTCTTCTGTATGTTTTATTGTATGGCTTTAATAATTGTTGTATGATTATTTTCTGCAAATTGTCTGAAATATAAACTACACATAAAAACCCTTGCACACAACAGTCCCTCTATACCCGGGGGCAAGAGTGAATACCTATAGGGAGTGGGTGGCAGATACGACCAGCTTGTTAGCACACGGGGCTACAACCGTTGTTGGAAAACCACCAACTCAAGGTGATAACTCTCTTCTTTTGGTCCAAGGATGTTGACACGGAGTTCCGTGCATGACCTGAGGACTGAGAGATTGAGAGGTCCCTATAATGGGGGCACCTTGGGCACCTTTGGCCTTGGTGAGAATAGTTTAGAACCACCTAAACCAAGCATGTTTCTGTAGGAAAAACCCACCTCGTGAAAATAGCGTGGCTCTGGTCATGGATGAATGAATTGTGTGTGCATTCGTCTGCTGCATTTGTATTGATGCATTAGCATAGGGTAATCATACAACAAACAAAAATAGCAAAAAATCCTAAAAAGCATAAAAGTGATAAGAATAAACCAACTTTATCTCGGACAGTCTTCAGTTAAGCTAGCCTGGTTTCAAGTTCTTTGTAAGCTAAGTAGCCACGTTGACCAACAGAAGAGATAAAGGGTTATAAAAAATAAAAACAATTCAAAGCCATAAAAATACCTCTTACAATAAAAAGATTTTCGACAAAGTCATATCATTCATACCACATCATCCAATAAGTGGTAAAACTAAGAGAGAAAATTAATGCAGCATGCATACACATCATTTTAATAAACCTCCAAAAAATGGGTCTTAGAAGCATTTTTTGGGAAAATTACTGGGCCAAATCCCCTTTTGGGATTTTGAACTTGGTTCTTCACCTTTTTCTCTTCGTTTTGACATGTTGTGCGTCCAAATCGGACATTCCAGTCAAAAGTTATTCCACTTTCAATATTTATTGTCATAAAAAGTATTTTTATAGTGTATGCATAAACACATTCATTCTAGGATGCATTAGATATCCTTAGATAATAGCGAAAGAGACCCAAGTGCATTTATAACCTTCCTAGAAGAGATAAGTGCGCTAAGGTATGATGGTAACCTTTTTGAAAAAAAAAAGGGAACCATCACACCAAGGTGGGTATGGTACTCCCTAAAGCATAAGCTTTTAGGAAAACACCAAAGCTATGGTCTAAGGCATATCTATCCCACACTGATCATTCATAAAAAAAATAATATTGAAAATCTTTAAATCATTTAGAAAGTGGTTGGTCTTCTACCTGTTCTCACTAGCGCTCAAAAATCCAAGAAGATGAAGCAATTAGAGGAGCAGAACCGTATGCTCACCGTTGAGCTTAATGTCATAAAGGAACAAATAGCACAGTTGACGGAGCTAATGTATCAGCAATGCTTCCACAATACGGTCTCTGAGCAACAAATTTTTGCCCTAGAAGAGAAATTAAGGGCATTAGAGGGACACAACTTCGATTTAAAGGAGGTAACTGATGTCGAAAATACTCAATCCCCTCCCAAATTTAAGAAGTCTCACACATCATTCAAGAAGTCCTTTGGCAAGAAGAAAGAGGGGAGCGTAAATGCCATCAACCTCACTACCCCTTCTTTTTCTTCACAACGATCTAGGCAGTCACGCAAACAAGAGAAGAAATTCACTCCCATTCCAACCTCCTATGGAAATCTGCTGCCATAATTGATAAAGGACCATCTCCTAGCATATGTCCCTCCAAAGAAGATGGATCCACCTTACCCAAAATGGTACAAACCTAATGAGAACTGTGATTACCATTCAGGCGCTCTTGGGCATTCTGTGGAGAATTGCATGGCCTTGAAGTATAAGGTCCAAGATTTATTTAATGATGGGTGGATCACCTTCAAAGCTCCCGACGTAAATATCAAGCCTCTATCGCAACTAGAATAGTGAGCCTAGGTAGAGAAGGCCAGCTAACTAGGGCTCCTCATTAAAAAAAATATAAATAAATAAAAAGTATATAATAATAAAAATAATAATAAAAAGCTTCCGATGTATCTCTCGCGGTCTCTGCTCATGGTCGCGAAATCTTTTGATTAAAGGGGCTCTGTATATATTTCTCTTTTCATCTATACAATGAGGCATTTTTCATAATATTCATATTCTTCTCATTCTTTTCTCTCTCCTTCCAAAATAATTAAATAAAATCTAAACCCAAATAAGGACCATATAAACAGTCATGTCTGTGATTGAAAACTATCTACGGGATCTGAAAGCCGAAGGCGAATGGATTGATTCAGACAGTGAGGAGGGGACCATTTCCCCGGACATGCAAAGACTATTGAAAAATAAGCTCAATTGACACAGCCCCATCAGGAAAAAATTTAGGCCATCAATTTGGGACAAAGAGATAATAAGAAAGAAGTAAATATCAGTACCCAAATTGATAATGTCAAGGAAGGGACAATAACACCTTTGCGCTTATACATCGGATAAAGTTGTACTGTGGATACACAGAAGAATCGTCTGTCAATGAAGATATTTCTAATATAGCCGCCATTGGGGGCACGACGAGAAGCACAAGAATTTATTCACCCAAGGAGCTACAAGATAATGCTCCTAAAAACAAAGGAAAAATAAAGAAACAGAAGAGGAAAAAAGAATCCAAGGGGAAGATTAAGTAGACCTTGGATTCACGATGCTAGGGCAGTTTCTTCAATGCTCCACCGAAAAATCAAATTTGTGGTAGGCGACAAGTTGATCATGGTTCAAGCTAAAGACTACATTTGAATCAGCAAGTCGTCCACCATACCTTAAATGGATGTGGTTGAAGAGGACATTTGAAATATGGAAAGACTTCCTAGCAATATGAAAGTGGCCCATATAATGAAGAGATATGGATACAGCCCAGGACAAGGGCTTGGAAAGGATGCTCAAGGAATAAGAGAGCCACCATATTTTAAGGATAATCCTTTAAAGTACGACCCTACAAAAGATCAAGTCGTACAAAGAAAAGAGAAGTCTCCCCTCCATACCTTAAAGACGATCTTCCAAAAAGGAGGGATATTAGCATCAAGGGTAACGTTAGTCATTAGATGTCCTTCTTCCGATTTTAAGGGATGTAAACCCAATGACTATTAGAGATTACTCCTCGGGGTGTGCCCGACCCCCGAGCATCTTTAGGGCACACATTTCCCTTTGAATTACAAAAGAATGCTATTCTTACTATCTGCTTCTTTTCTCGCTAATCATATCTATACCCCATAAATAACCATGTTTAGACAAACATTTTGTTCCAAAATACATAGACAAAATGAAGCCAAAGTTAACATGATTGATTAGCTAGAGACATGAA